TCACAAATTTAGGCTCTCCCTTTTACTAGTAGGTTACTAGATTAGAACCTCCTCTTCTCTCTAGATTGCATATCATCATTTAGTACATTGTCCGTGTTTATTCATCTAAGACTTGAAAAAAAGCCATAATTTATAATGATCCTGTGGCTGACGGATAAAAAAGTGGTTAACTGATCAAAACAAATGTAGTATATGACTAGTCAACACTTATGAGTTAAAGAGTTACAAAAACAAACGCCTCCCAGGATCCCACACCCGATTCTGCAGCAATGCCCACCAACACAAAATCCTTTCACCTCTTTAGTTTTTGTCCTCACTAAGTCACTTGACAATGACTAGTGTAATTAAACTCTTTTATCATTGCATTGTTTGGATCATAGTATTTCTAAAATTAGAATATCATGTTAGTTCAAGAAATAGTATAGTGATAAATACTCCTGAATTCCAAAGAATATGAACTTCCAAGTAGTTATCTATGTTATATTACAGCCAAAGACTAATCTCCTTGGACAATTTGGTTGGCTATTTTCAATGGGGCCTCCCTCTCCAACCACATTTTCCTTCCTACAAAGCTCATATCCGAGGTCTTGCTTAAGAGATAAAAATCTAGTTACACTCTGACCAACATTATGTTGCTGTTTTTCTGTCTCTTATTCAATCCGTTTTCTTTGACAGGAAGAAAAGCCTGCTGCTGGAAAGAAGAATCCAGCCTCTCGGCCATTAAGCATGATTATAAAAGTCAAGCCTCAAGCTAAAAAAGCCAAGGTGGATGAAGGAAATACTGAAGAAGTTTCAAAAGCAGGGATTACTTCTGTGAATGATAAGAGTAGGCCTTTAGAATCAGTACAACTATTGAACGGCATAGCTGATAAGTCAAATGAAGTTGGCCTAACTGGCCTTGTTTCGTATAGTGACGAAAGTGATGATGACTTGTAGTTTGATATCTGTATGATGAGAAGTTATATGATTCTGGCTACTCATATGCCTATTATAGTAAAACTAGATTTATAGTTGAAGGTTACCGATCCATGCATAAATATGATTTCCGACTAGATTGAGAATGGCTGCATATAGAATATACACTTTATTTGAAAAGAGAATATATTACAAAATAAAGACCACAGAAACTGCATTTTAGTTTCCTGCCCCTAACCGAGTCAACTTTTTATATTTGAAACATAGTAACATCTTGCCCTTATGCATTAAAAAGAGAAAGACATTTATAATCTGGTATGATGAAGCTTATAACAGTTACTGATTTATAAGACCATGAATTTGATCAATGAAGGGAAGGAGATGTGCCTCCTCCACACACCATGTAACCAAACGAATCCCTCTATTTGGGAGTGGCAGCGAGCGCACAATGCCAGCTGGCACAATGACAGAGCCTTGAATGGGGACCACATGGACAGGTGGACCCCACTGATAGTCCACATTGTCGAATCCCAACCTCCCCCACTCAGACATAAAGACTGTGGCATAATTTGGTGTAGGTGCAAACGGGTCCTCCTCATCCTCATTGCCACATTTTATATGGTCACCCTTCAAGTACTTATCAAACTCTAAAGGTAACCTGGACTTAGCTTCTTGAATCAGCTTTACCACTTCAATGATATTTACTGCTTTTCCAAGTGACTCGCATGAAGTTGTAGTTGTCACTGGGAAAAAACAGTTTCCGTAGAAACCATCGGGTAGAGGAGGGTCTATGAGGTGTCGACAATTTGCAAAGAAAACAAGCTTCACTTGGGTATTGGGATCAAAATTAATGGCTCTTGTTCTGCTGCTCCAAAACAAAGCAGCAACAATTTCAAAGGTAGAACAACCTCGCCTAGTTACTTGTTGAAACTGTCGTTTCAGCTGGTTGATTTGATCCATAGTCATGTCTATGTTAGAATGCTCTAGCTTGTAATGTGGCATTTTAGGTGGACTTGTTAGAGGTAGTTTTGGCAATGTATGAGCTTGAGGAGAGGGACAGAAGTTCCTGTACCACACTGGTTCAATGGTGGGCTTGTCAAGTCCTCTAGCTAGCTCCCCAACCGCGTTCAGAAACTGTGCAGCGCCAAGGCCATCACAAATGCTATGGCTGAATACCAGGCCTATCACAAAACCCCCACAACCAAATTGTGTCACCTAAAACAAGAAGAATTTTGTTACCACCAAATGAGTAAACCTCTCTATGGATACATAAAAATAATGACAAATTTAAACCATGCCTGTGTTGTTTTAAACTTTTAATTAGCTGTCTTGCTAAATATACATCTACATAAGAGTTGCTGTGCTAACATTAAATTAGCTAGAGCAAACCATTCTTAAATGTTAAGGTTTAAGCATTCTGATTCTAGCAAATTCTGGTGTTTATGCTTTAAGTTCCAACAATTTGTTTCTTTTATTATTGGTCTTTGACACTTTTTTGAAATGATACTCCTTTTAGTGTTTGCGATCAATTTCTATTTATTTAATTTGGCATAGCTTATGGAAATAGACGTCACTATTGTCATGTATGATAAAAAAAAAATAAAACAAGCTGGGCATGAAGTTTGCAACCCGATACCTGCATTTTCACAAGGGGTTCAGTTTGTCCGATCTTCTGAACATCATTGGGAAGAAGATCATCATAGGGAATCGACTCCATGTCGTTAAAGAAATTGACAGAGTCAAGGCTGCAATCAGTTGATGCCTCAACGTACCACACACCATCACCCGAACACTCGATTTGGAGGCACCATGGTTTAGACTCTTTGAGCCGTCCTGCAAGAGGGTAGTAGGGAACAAGTGCTAGGGACAATGCCTCTCTTATGACCCTTGTTGCTTCAGGGCCATATCTAAACACATGCAAGGTTCTAACATTGCATCTTAAAACAGGTAATCTGTCGATTATCGACAAGTCTAGTGTGACCAATGGTGTCTCCTTTGCAGGTCTAACTAGGTCTCGTTTTGTTCTAATCACAGACATTGTCATGATAATCTATATAGAATAGAAACAAAAGAATGACTTGGTAAGAGTGCTTAGTTTGTTTGATTTCATGATCCATTGTGGATAGGCTTTGTTTATATATCGTTAAATTGCAAATTTTAATTCTCTGCTTCTTGGCCTTCAAGTCTAATTTTTGTTTAGTAGGACCTTGAACTATTCCCCCAAGGCTAACTTTTGCCCTACATATTCTAAACATTGTGTGTGTGTGTGCACATTTGGAGGTGTACTCATCAGCATATATTTTGCTTTGGCGTCAATGCAAACAAGTTTTGAGCAAAAATTTGTTTGATTGCAGAGGAAGTTTGAATAGTTAAAATGAAGCTTTATTTTATGTGATTAAATTAATTACTATTTATTCTATTTTCTGTTTGCGCTTATATCACATGTTTCTGTTTGGATCTTTGAAGCAACTCAAGCAAGGGGTCTCTCTTTTTACTTTAAGTACATTCATACGATTTCTTTAAAAAAATAGGCACATTCATACGTTACTTACCTACGTTTATGTTTCATATTACATATTTGTCTTAATAGACCAGTCTTTATGTTTCCTATAAATGCTTTTTTTTTTTCCTTCAAAATTCCCATCTCATTGTTCCATGTAAGTTTCAATCTCTTTCGTGTTTCTTGTTTGATTAATTTCTCGCTCTCTGGTGAAAAATCAAAATTGATCATAAAATTTGAGGATGCATCACTGAACATATTCTATATATATATATATATTTCACACTTCATAAGTGAGACATTCCTATTTTAGCTCAAAATATTTATTTGAAAATGCATCTTAGAAATTTCTGAGATGAATTTCCGTAAAAGCACCGATAATTAAAAAATACTAGTACAAAATCTATATAATCCTCTCCTCTCTTTTCCAATCCATTTATATATATATATATATATATATATATATATATATATATATATATATATATATATATATATATATATATATATATATATATATATATATATATATATATATATATATATATATATATATATATATATATATATATATATATATATATATATATATATATATATATATATATATATATATATATATATATATATATATATATATATAAAATGGGTGATTCTATTCATGATCTCTATCCTTTCAATTTCTTTAATGGTGCTCTTGGAGTATCAGTTTTTGTAAATTTTCGTTTGAATAAAAAAATCTTCTTATTTGGGTGTTAAAATGAAAATGCAATTCTTTCATTATACAATAGTTGTATTTTTTAGGAAAAAATAATAGCTTATAATTGGATAATAAAATGAAATTCATCTACCAAATGCTTCAAAGAGCATAAATATCAGTCCAATTTTTATGGTTCTACACACTTTACAAAGTGTTCTATGTCAGTAATAATGGATATTTGGTAAAATAATAAAGTTCTACATATGTCAACGTTGGCTGGTTTAGTAAGGTTCTACAAGTGCCATGCTGGACAAGAATAATAAATGTTGGACAATAATAATAAATGTTGGACAAGAATAATAAATATAACGGTAATATTTTGTTTTGGAATAATTCAACGGTATTAAATTAAAATATTTTAATATTAAATTGAAATACTTTGTAACGGTAATATTTTAGTAAATAATTTAATAATTTAATCATTTAAATAATTCAACGGTAATATTTTAGTAAATAATTTAATAATTTAATAGTTTAAATAATTCAGCAGTAATATTTTAGTAAATAATTTAATATTAAATTGAAATATTAAATTGTAACGGCTATAAATTAATCACTATATTATTTATATTTTAGTAAATAATGACAATATTTATTTCATAAATAGGTTATTAATTTATTAATATTTTAAATTAATCACTATATTATATATAAATTAATCACTATATTATTTATATTTTAATTTATTAATAAACTAACGGTAATATTTTTCATTCTTATAAATAGGTTATTAATTTTACTACAATTTTCATTTACAACTAGTCTAACTTTGAACTATTGAATCTATCTCATCTTAAATTTTTTCTTCTACACATTTATCTGTCAATGGATCCCAATCAACATAACCCTTGGTCTAATTTTATGCAAAATAGTGGTAGTCCTCCTTCTATTCCAAATCAACAAAGTAATCCATATTTTAGAAATACACCTTTTATCTCAAATCCACACCATAATCCAAAATTTTCAAAACTCACCTTTTATCCTAAATCCACAAAATAATCCACACTTTGGAAATTACTCATATCATCCACCACCTTATCCATATCAATATCAACAATTTACATCTCAATCAACTAACCCCATTATGCCTCATGGGGCTCAAATAGGTAGTAGTGATGCGCAACCAAATGATCAAGAAGATGAAACACCACAATTTTGCACTCAAGGTAGCTTAGAAACAGTTAACCTTGGTGAAGAAGTTGCATCCGTACGTGTTGTGAATACGCATAAACAAAGGTTCCAACAAAAAGAGGATGAAATTCTCATTCAATCATGGCTCAATGTTTCAAAAGATTCAATTGTTGGGGTTGATCAAAAAGGAGATAGTTTTTGGAAGCGGATCGGTGAAGCTTACAACAAGCATCGTGACATTAACTACAAAGAGAGGAAACCAACGCAACTAAAATGTCGATGACATAAAATCAATCCATCTGTTCAAAAGTTTGTTGGATGCTACAAACAAGCTGTGTCTACACAACAAAGTGGGAGTTCCGAGAGCAATATCATGCAAGCTGCATATAAAATCTATTTCCAAGATGAAGGTGAAAAGTTTACTTTTGAAGCTGCATGGAGATTATTGAAAGATGAACCTAAATGGCTCGCAGGTTCATCAGAAGCTTCTACAAAAAGAACAAAGAATTCAGCTTCAGGAGCATATTCTTCATCTTCTAATCCACAAATGAGCAGCGAACACGATCCATCATCACCTACTTTGTCTCGCCGTCCAATCGGTCAAAAGGCAGCCAAAAGGAAGGAGAAAGAAAAGCTTATGGAAATGTCTTCTACTCCCAATGTCAAATATGATTCTTTGAAAGATGACTTTAAAAAAAAATTTGATCTGATGTCAATGTTTGCACGAGACTATGCATGCATTGAGGGTGAAAAAATTGAGATAGAGAGAAAAAAGGTTGATGCAAAGATTAAGAAGGCTGGGAATGCTGAGGAGAGATTGAAGATGAATGATCTGCAAATACTCTCAAAAGATACATCAAATATGGATACAAGACAACTACAAGCTCATGATATGTTGTGCGACATGATTAGAGAAAAATATGGACTTAATTAGTATGATTATGTATTTTAGGCTTAATTAGTAAGATTATGTATTTTGGGATTAATTAGTAAGATTATGTATTTTAGGCTTAATTAGTAAGATTATGTATTTTGGAATTAATTAATATGGACTTAATTAGTATGATTACGTATTCAAAATCAAATTAGCCGTTATTCAAACTAGCCGTTATTCAAAGTCAAACTAGCCGTTATTCAAAGTCCAACTAGCCGTTATTCAAACTAGTCGTTATTCAAAATAGTCTTATAAATAGTATTAACATCTTGCATTTTTTACAATTTGTTATCATCTTCTACTAAATATCAAACTTCTTTTCACATGGATCCTTCCAATCCTTCCCACATTGCAAAAATGTTTATGGATTATATGAATGATGACATGGATGAAGAACTTGTGAAGTTGTTTATGGAAGAAGAAGCCTCGAGCTCTAGAAGGCCTAGGCGTCAAAGAAGGAATATAGAGAGGAATCGTGAAGAGAGGAATCGTGAAGAGGGACATGAACGATTGTTCAAAGATTATTTTTTAGAAACTCCGGTATACACAAATGAGCAGTTTCGTAGAAGGTACCGAATGCATAAACATGTGTTCCTTCGTATTGTTGAAGCTCTAGGTCAACATGATGAGTATTTTCGAATGATGGTTGACGCAACAGGTAGGGCAAGTCTTTCACCATTACAAAAATGCACTGTTGTTATCCGTATGTTGGCATATGGAACATCTGCTGATAGTGTGGATGACTATTTGAGAATTGGTGAAACCACGACACTAAAATGTGTTGATAAGTTTACACGAGGAGTGATCAACATCTTTGGTGCACAATATTTGCGAAGGGAGCATTGACTGCATGCATTGGGAATGGAAAAATTGTCCTGTTGCATTGAAAGGACAATATGTTCGAGGCGATCATGGGAAACCAACTGTTATGCTTGAAGCAGTGGCTTCACAAGACTTATGGATTTGGCATGCATTCTTTGGGGTAGCGGGTTCAAACAACGATATTAATGTGTTGAACCAATCCAATGTCTTCAACGATGTTCTGCAAGGACGAGCTCCCGAGATTCATTATACAATCAATCATACTGAATACAACAAGGGTTATTATCTATCAGATGGTATTTATCCTGAATGGGCCACGTTTGTAAAAAGTATTTCGATGCCACAAGGGGATAAGAGAAAATTGTTTGCCCAACATCAAGAAGGGGCAAGAAAGGATATTGAACGAGCATTTGGAGTTCTTCAATCCCGATTTGCAATCATACGCAATCCAGCACGATCTTGGCACTTAGACACACTCCAGCGCATAATGAATACATGCATCATATTACACAACATGATTGTTGAAGATGAACGTGCAACATATGGTGGAAATTTTGATTTTTCTTATGATCATTTGAGTAATGATGCGACAATATTGTCGAACGATTCTAATATTGATTTTCAAGAGTTCATGCGTAGAAGATTTGATATTCGTGATAAACAAGTTCATCGACACGTTCAACAAGACTTGATAGAACATATATGGCAACGTTATGGACATGAGAATAACAACAATTGAAAAATATTTTAAATATATATTTTTATTCTATTTTGTGCTAGTAACTTATTTTAATAATGTATTTTTAAATTAATTATCACACACATATATTTTTATTGTATTTTGTGCTAGTAACTTATTTTAATAATGTATTTTTAATGTATTTTTTAATTAATTATTTGTGTGATGTATTGTGTTTTTTAATATATAATTTTTTAAATATATAATTTTTTAATGTATTTTGATATATTTCAATTAAATTGTTTTAATTATTTATTTATATAATTAAAATGTTGGATATATTTGAGATTTGGTGGGACCCATTTTAGAGTTTTAAATGAGTTGCATGGATATTTGAAAAATGTAGTGGGGTTGTTTTAGAAAATATTAAAGTGAAATATAATATAAAAAATTATGTGGACCCCATCTAAAGAACCAAAGTGGGAATAATGAGTGTAGATGCTCTAATACTGACATGCAACACTTTGTAAACTGTGTAGAAACATGAATATTTGACTGATATTTATGCTCTTAGTTTGCATGTTTAATGTTGCTTAATATGACAAGATGTGATCAAATTTGCGTTAATGATCACTTTCTACTACAATGGACCATGACATCCAATAACCTCATATTCTAGCTCCATCACTTCCTCCAACTATTCCTAACTCCACCTGCCTACCATTCAGCTTGGACTGTTATAAATATTTTACCATCTCAACTTAATCATATTATTATCATCTCACTCATTCTTTCACTATTTTGGCATGTAACTTTTTTTAAACTCATTAATAACTTTTCCATTCTCAAGAAACTCTTGATTTTTCTATTACAGCTCGCTGCAATATTTCCTCTGTTTTGAACTTGTTGTGTATTACAGCTCGCTGCAGCATAACTATCCCAAAATCAAAGCCAAAAAGTGTGTCATGCAAACGATTGAAACATTACAAAGAGAGAATCCTTGGCAAAAATCCAAACCAAACAATTTACCAACAACAATGCACCATCTTCACACGCCTCCTTTACATAAAAACAAATGAAAGCTGCATACCATGCAACTAAGCTTTTCTTCTTAGCTGCCAAGTAACCCCTCACTCCTTCACACTCACATGCACCCTTTGTTTTCTTACCTGCCAAACACTATTTTGGAAATTCACAACCCACAAACACTTCCAAACTAATGTCACATTCTCTACAGCTAATTACATACTCCAAACAATTCATCTCTTCTATATATATATATACACACATCAATTCACCAACTTCATCATATCTCATCTCAAACCAAAACATGGCTTCATTTTCTATCCTTCATTTTCTCCTCATTTCACTCTTTTGCTCTTTTCTTTTAGTCTCATCTAAGTCTCTGTCTCACCCCCCAAAACCAAACCTACTAGTCATACCGGTTTACCAACATCCTTCAACTGGACTCCATTGGACCAACATCCACAAAAGAACCCCGATAACGCATGTCCCGGTTCTCATTGACCTCAACGGCAAACACTTATGGGTTAACTGTGACCAACACTACTCATCTTCAACCTACCAAGCACCCTTTTGCCACTCCACACAATGCTCTAGAGCCAATGCTCACACTTGCCATAACAACACGTGTGTGCTTATTTCCACAAACCCGATCACTCAACAAACCGCCACAGGGAAACTAGCCCAAGATGTCTTGGCTATCTACGCCACCAGCGGGTCTAAGCCCGGCCCAATGGTTACAGTCCCTCAGTTCCTCTTCTCTTGCGCACCATCCTCTTTGGCCCAAAATGGCCTGCCAAACAACCTTCAAGGTGTTGCCGGGCTTGGCCACTCACCCATTTCATTACAAAATCAAATTTTTTCCAACTTTGGTGTACCACACCAATTCAGCACGTGTCTCTCTCGCAACCCAAAATCATACGGAGGTATACTCTTCGGGGATGCACCGAATAACTACAACAAGAACCCTAATATCTTCAAGCATTTGGTTTACACCCCATTAACAATAACCCAACAAGGAGAATACCGTATACAAGTCACCTCCATAAGAATAAACAAACACAGCGCGATTCCAGTGAGTGAATCCATCTCATCAAACAATCCAGAAGGTGGCATTGGAGGAACATTGATCAGTACCACAATTCCTTACACAATACTCCATCACACTATCTATCAGGCATTAATTCAAACAGTTGGCGCACAGATTCCAAAAGACGCACAGGTGAATCCCGTGGCTCCATTTGGTTTGTGTTATAATCCAAAAGGGATTTCTTTTCCTCTTCTTGTTGAGTTTGTGTTGGATAATAAGCCTGATGTTAGTTGGAAAATAGATGTTGAAAATTTGTGGGCTGTGCAACCAAATGGGGTATTTTGTTTGGGTTTTGTGAACGGTGGGTTGAAGCCAAAAGCTGTGATATCTATTGGGAGTCATCAATTGGAAGAAAATGTGTTGGTATTTGATCTTGTTAAGTCAAGGCTTGGGTTTAATAATTTCTTGAGGTTTTTTGATAAGAAAGGAATCAATTGTTCTGATCTCTTTGATTTCACCAATGCTCCATAGATCATAAGCATCTACTTTGTCTTCTTGTTATGAATAAGTTCTTCAAGTTATGAATAATAAAGACACTATTTGTGTTGTTTAGACACAAATGTCTTGTTAAGTTTTTGTATCATGGATCATTATAATGGAAACTGTTTTTGTCTTATCCACATTTTTATATCCTATAATTTCATTATGAAACACAAATGTGTTGTTAAGATTGTGAACTAGACTGATAAGATCCATTGAGAAACAACAAAAATAAAAATAAAAATCTAAAAATAAATTATGGAAGGATCTTGAAAATAACACAATCTCTCACTTCAATCAAACAAACAAATATTAAAAATATATATATATATATATATATATATATATATATATTAAAAATATTCAAATTTTCCTTAAAGCATCAACGGCGGCAAAACGGTGTCATCTAATTCATGGATGGGGTGGATGTTGCATACCATGCATCATGGGCGGATATGGCATGCGATGCATCATGGAAGGATGTTGCATACGATGCATCATGGATGATTGTTGCATATCATGCATCATGGGTGGATGTTGCATACCATGCATCATGGAAGGATGTGGCATACCATGCATCGGTGGAATCATATTCATATGTGCATTTTGTTGATTCATCATTGGCATAGGCATAGGCATAGGCATGAACCTTTGTTGTCCATAGGAAGGTTGCATTTGCATCCTTTGATGATGATGATGATATTCACCACCATTATTCATCATAGGATCTATTGGAACCATATGGCTCATCTTTCCATTTCCACTATTGCCCTTACTATGAGGAGAATGAGCAGGGATAACATTGTCTTTTCCTTCATTACCATGCTCCTTGGAACTGGATTTTTTCTTGGAAGGTTCAGGATCAGTTACTGTGGGTTTATGAGTAACACATATTTGAGCATGTTT